CACTGATAACATACTCAAAATATTTTCTAAGAGCCCGTTGGGTTTTGATGCAACTCGATAGTGTCATCATTGATGCCTCATACAGAGGCATCATTTAACGTGGATTCTACGATTATATGAAGTCTTGAAATTTTACATGCATTAATACCTAAATTATCGAATCCAACTCTGTGCTAGTTTTACGATAAAACATAAATTGACATAAGAACGGCATAAAATAGCGGTTGATTGCCGAGTGGCTTACTTGTGTGTATTGTGCAGATTATTGGAGACTTGACCAACCACAGCGAAACATGTGGGTAGAAGACGGATTTCTTGCTTGGTTTTGATCAGACGAACTAGACAAGTGTCTTCATCATCCACTTCAGAATAGACGAGGCCTAGATAGTTAAAATTCATTGAAGTGTCATCAATTAGCCACAGAGGCAAACGCATTGATAAGCACATGCATGAAAAGAGATAAGCAAGCACGTTTAAAAGTAAGCGAGTATGCAATAATAGTCATTGAGGGAATATATATAAAGCTTACCATCGAATTTAAGAAGCTCGCATCTAGTGAGAGATAACATAATTTAGCTATGTCCAGCGAGAGTTCTTAGATTTGATAGTATGAAAGCGCCATAAAAAGGAACATTTAACCAGCTGCAAGTATATTGATCAATTTTGCTCATTCCGGATAAGTGAAAGGCCAAAACGCCAATAGGGCAAATTCAAAATTAATTTTTTAGTAGTTTAATGATATAATTGAGGATGGCTCGCCTGAAGAAGAAGCAACTTTATTCCTTGTCATTATACTCTTTATTGATAGTATATTGTCCTTTCAAATGGGCTCCGCTATATCATTAAGTACTACAGACTTAAACATAAGTAAATATTGGTAGGAGATCTAAAAGAACGCACCTAACCCGTCTGCTATTTCCCTGGTTCAAGTATTTCACTCGACTCCTGCTACCCTATCTGTGCTACTTGAGGCGTTATTTCCCGCACTGCCTCTGGGAGATTAAATTGCTGCTAAAGAACCCGAGTAATTCTCACGGTCAGGCCTTTGCTTCATGGACCACGTCAATGATCAAACACGCCTACTATAAAATTGTAATAGTGAAGAGGTGATACGAGGACATAGGATTGGTGATTAGACCAGGGCGGAAGGAGAGATACCACAATTGCTTAGCAGACAATTGGTTAGGGTCAGCTTCACTTGTCTGTCTTACGAGTTGTATTGTGGTGCTGACTGGCAATGCTCACTAACGATGCCGGCGAAACGTCTGTAACTATACCACGTACACGGTCCAAATCTGGAAATTATCATGCATACTATGGACTACGGATTAGGTGCGTTTCTCTAGGTCTTCTTACCAATATTACAAAGTTGCGAAAACAAGGTCAAACAACTTCTGTACAACGAAAGGAGACTGCGACCATATAAGAGGCCACACCATCTTGGTCTTCATACTTTAGATAAGAAAATATTTAAAAAAAAGTTTCGCCTTATGATATTGGCCTTCTCCTAAATTAGTTTATATTCTACATATAGAAAGCTAGTTTTCCAGCTGAAAATTCGCTAATAATAAGAATGAAAGCGGAACACCAAACTCAATCAACATTTATAAGCTACTGCGACACTCCTAAGAGATGTAAAATGAACTGTAACAACATATCTTGCAAGACAAATGCATTTATAACGCAGATATGAGAACGATTAAAATAGAAAGTTGTATTGACCTCATAACTCACAGACTCCATTTAGTATATGGAGTGTGTATCAAGAGCCAAACAGTTGATGAGGAAGAGAAATCGTTAACAAATTTAAAGCAAGAATACGCTATATTTATTTATGATTATTTTATTACTCATTGGGAATTAATCTATTCCCTACCAATTAAACAAATAAGGTTCGGCCTTAAAGCATGAATACATCATGCTACTTGTGAAGTAGTATGCTAATTTAAAAATGAAAATAAAATCAATGCACATTCACCAGGCAAATTTAGAACACGATGCTCAGGTTCATCTTTAGGGTCGTGGTTACTAGGAGCCAGACTTGAATCAGTTTCACTCGATGTCTGCCCCTCCGACTTTTCTAAGCTAATACGAGAGCCGCGACGTACCAAGAGACCTGAAGTGCCCGCCGCTGTACAATACAGTGCACCCTGGCCAGGTTGTGCTTCAATCTGGCAGATCGTGGTACCGGCTGGTAAAGCGCCAATTGGATATGCGTCACCCTCAATCGGTACCACTGAAATTAAAAACAATAAGCAAAAATTTGAAGTATGGAGGAGCAAAAATGCATCTAGTTTAAGATTATGTCGTAGCAAGTACCAACTAGGTTATGTGTAAAGGCTACGTATTAACGCAAAATAGAACTTGGGATTCACATTGCTTCTCCAGGACACAGAATGTCCATAAGTGCTCGCCACGAGCTACGATAGTAAACCTACAGAATATACTACAGTTGCGCTTAACCTACCTGGTATATGGGGAATATCGATATGACTGCGGACAATGTCGCCGACCTTCATGTTAACTGTGGCGATAATCCATCGCTTGTACACGCCATTGGCCACGAGAGCGATAAAATGAGTGCGCCACCAGTTTTGGTGGATCTAGATTAGATAGGAATAACGATAAAAAAGAATAAAATAAATTAGTTGTCGTAATAAGAGTATAGATTCAAGGCCTCAATCTCCTTCCGTTATGGTATGCTATTATTTTCTAGTCATGTATTCTTTCAGCATCAGAATATCGGCCAGGTGCACTTCCCAGACACCCAAGGGGCATGGTAGTCGACAATGTAAGTGAGGACAGCATAGGCTAGTGAAAAAGGAGGCCATATAGTTAAGCGTAGTCCAGTTTAATGATCCTGATATTCCTCTCTATGCTAAATTCTCTAAATCAGTCCATAATTCACAAATTTATCGAAGCAACTGGCTCCTAGAGAAAATCTTCTAGCATGGTGGATGAGTCAAACTTTTGACCAATGCTACATAAAGAAGAAAATTCTCCCATTATAATAGGTCTACATAAGAAATTTCCCCTCTACAAGTCAAAGTGTTCTTCATTCCAAACAATACACCAAACTATGATGACTTTCATGAGTGTACATAGTTACACCAGATATGTAAGACTGCATTTGATAAAAAGTTAGCATCCATATGAATTAAATTAAGGGTCACACCATATTGGCCCTTTCTGAAGTAGTACTGCAGACTTGAGTAAGTCTGAATAAAAATTTGAATAAATATTAAAATTGGATCGACAAATAAAAGGTGCTTTAAAATACCCTATAACAAAATATACAATATACAAAATTAGTTGAGATAAACACCAAAACTGGGAAAATAGGCTAACATTCTTTTGAAAACGTAATGCGAAATGTTGTAAGAATGCATATTTGAAATACAAGTGGGAGAACTTCATGGGCCAGAAGGCAGATTATCGAGAATGGATTAACAAACATTAGTTAAAAGCAGGCTTTAAAAGGTAAGATAGACTAAACTATATTATAAAAGACCTACAAGTCCAATTTATAAATATGAAATAATTGTCGATTTAAGGATAAAAAACACAAACCCTAAGAACAATTTCTTCAAGAACGTTGCCGGTCTTTACGTGTCTGGATCGGCAGTGATCGACCATGAACCAGGGCCGTTGGAGCCCGCCACTTACGTGTTTGTGCTTGGTAATACCTGCAGAATTGAAAAAGAGTTAAATGAAAGTACTAACATTATCTAGACACGAGTAAAAATAAATAGTGTCCTAGTGAAGAACAGTTAAATATAAGAGATTAAAGAGATGAGGACCAAGTCCACTGTCTGATACTTGAAATCATGACTACTATGGCAGATGACTCCGGACTAGGTACGTTCTATTAATTCCTCCTGACAACAAGACCAAGTTGCGACAACAAAGTCAACCCACTTCTATAAGAGATATTAGTTTAAGCAAAATCTGACTGTATTGGTGCATAAAAAATGCAGCCCGTCTAAGAAGGAAATATTATATAATGTTCATCCCAATAAATGATTATAGCCTAATAAATTAGAAGTGCTGCTATAGGAAAACATCTAAAAAAAATATTCGTTACTCATGGCCAGGATTAAAATAGTAATACCACCTGGTTTAAGCAAAGCTAATCTTATTTGAAACTGTGAAATTCACGTGGTTTGGAAAAAGTCAGACATAGAAGTAGTATATAAGTTGTTTGACCTTGTTTTCGCAACTCGGTCATATTGGTAGGAGAGCTTAGAGGAACGCACATAGTCCTGAGTCCATTGTATCCATAATCATTTCCAAAGTCGAACCGTGCATGTGGTACATTCCCAGTCGTTTCGCCGGCATCGTCAGTCAGTCTCGCCATTCTTAGCACCACACAACTCGTCAAGGCGACAAGTGAAGCCGATCCTTTGACCAAACGTGTGCTAAACAGTTGTGGTATCTCCCCTTCTGCCCTGAGCTATTCGCATTTCCTATATCCTCCGATCACGCCTTCACTGTTGCAATTTTTACCGCACTTATTTAGATGTAGTGTGGTGTGCTCCTTTGAGCAGCATTCATGAAAACCCTTGACACTCCACGCTGGCGTTCTCACCCCCCTTCACTCTTGTGCCGGGAATGTTGATCAGTCTGCCATATTGTTACGCAGTCCTCCTTCCCTAGGTTTTATCACAGTCTCCCTCTTGCCCCGTAGAATCCGTCTGTTATCGCCCTGGTTCAAGCATATCACTCGACCTCTGTCACTGTATCTGTGCTATTCGAGGCGTTATTTCCCACACTCTGCGTCTGAGTAACTAATTGGAAGCTAAAGCCTCTGAGTAAGTCTCTTGGTCATGACTTTGCTACATGGACCAAGTCTCTTGTAAAACCTACTGTCAGCCAACTAGCTCAATTCGCCGCCTCGTCTATCCTGTCTCTATTCCTACTACCAAGCCTATGACTTTCCATGCCCTAGTCCCTTGTGTGCCAACTTACAAATGTTGTGGTACTGCTTGCTATGATTAGGTTCAATGTTGAATTACAACGTTTGTGGGTTGACACACGAGAGACTAGTGCAGGGTAAGTCATATAATTGGTATTAGGAATAGAAACAGGATAGACGCGTCGGAGACTGGATCTAGTTGGCTAACAGTAAGTTTTACCAGAGACGTGGTCCATGTAGCAAAGACATGACCATGAGACTTACTCAGAGGCTTTAGCCTCGAATTAGTCACTCAATC